GGGGGGGGGCCAGCCGCGGGGTCTCGGGCAGGAACAGGCAGCATCTGCATTGCCGAGAGCCGCTGAATAGCTGCGCCTTGCTCCCGGGGAGGCAGCGGGTCCCGGGTCTTGCTGAGCTCCTGCGGGCATGTGAGCCGCTGCCTTCGGAGTCAGTCTCTTTGTCGCTCTGCAAGACGCTGGCTCCAGGCTCTCCCCGAGTTTTGAGCGATGCCCCTATTTTCCCTCTCTCCTCTGCTTAAAGCCCTGGAAACGCACCATGTTGCTGTGATATAAAAAGCACATTCAGATCTCAGGGCACTGTCACACTTGTACACTGACTTCTATTGTTATCAGATGAACTGAGAGGTCAGTGACGGGGGAGAAGGGAATAGAAAATTTAGCTAGACTCACAATAGAAATCCTGCTATCTCTTTGGCAACAGACACACAGCTGAGCAGCATCAGTGCGATCAAGAAACAATGAGATGAGGCCCTAGCCTCAACATTTAGATGGCATCCAAACTTTTCCAAAGTTCAGGAGTGTTTATATCCTTGGCAGGAGGTTCAAGGTCAGCTCTGTCAGATAGTTTCTTCGCCAACAAGATTTGGAAACTTTTAATGGATCCTAAAAAGTAACTTCCAAGTGGATCTGAAAGGTGAGGCCAAAGCACGCAGTGTTTCTTTAACAAATCATTTTTCCTTCTTCCCTGCTGCAGGTCAAACAATTTCACGTCGCAGGACCCACACCAGTAACGCATGCAGACATGCACGCCGCAGGCAGGGTGTCCTCATCCGCAGCGCAATTTCACTTATGTCATGTGATGTAAGAACTGCAGAACTCTACTAAAAAGCAGCGTTCCTGGGATGAGCAGATCAGCCCAGGCACCTCAGACATCTGAATATGGGTGGATTTATGCAAGGTGAAGGGGAAAAATGGGAGACAAACTCCATCCCTTAGGTTTTGGTGGAGGGGGAGGCTGGAAATAAGGAGCCTGCCCCACGACCCTGCTAATCCCACTTGGCCACACCTATTGTTTATCCTTCGGTTTTTGCTTTTAGAAGCACTAGGAACTGGAACCCTGAAATGCGCTATCACTGAAATTACTGGATACTGGGGCCACTTTAATACTACATAAATCTGCCATTCAAAATAAGTATTAATACCTACTGATTGCAGACCAGAGGATTTCCAGGAGTATAGACTAGCTGAAATTCAGTAGTTTAAAAGGTTTATTTTAAACCCTTTATTTCTTCTCTTATCTTGCATGGGCTGTAACGGGTGCGCGCTCCAAGCAACTCTTCAGTTTACAAACAGGAAAGCACTAAGTACAAATGCTTCCCTTCTACATGGCACAGCCCCGCACACTTTGCTTCGCAAGGCTGGGGAGATGCCTGTGCCATGACCTGCAGAGACCACCCCGTAGGGTGAAGGGGCAACGTGGTCTCCACGCCAATATACTTTAATCTGCTGCCTTTCCGTTTAGCCAGCCAACAGGAATGTTGGCTGGTGCCAACTCTGGTGTTTGTGAAAAGCACATGTATCTACTAGAAGCTGGACTGCTTCCACCAACCCAGTTCACATGCCATCAGACAGAGGTGACTTTCAGTCACATTACTGACTGGGACTGGACACGAATCAAAGACCCAGAGGTGAATGGCTCTACTCCCGCTACCAGTGTTCTGAACTATTTAGTCTCCTTTATCCCAATTAAGCTTGTTTTGGATTCAAAGAGGCATCCTGCTAGTCTGCTGCATTTATTTAATGAAATTTATTATTTGCTGTATTTCCTGTGGCATGTGATGAAGCAGAGGCAGAATCATAAAGCACATTTTTATATAATGCATTTATTGTCTGCAACAGTTATGTCCTTTTAACTCAACAAGTAAAATAGTCAAAACCAAACAAGCTAGTTTTCATTCCATATATCTTTAAGACTGCAATTCATTCAAAATGGTCAGTTTTAAGGAATCCCTGTCCCTGCACTGCCAGGAATCCTTCCCTAGCTCAGAAGCTGTAAGTGAATGTGTGCAGTAGTACACTGCAATATGGCAATATAAAAAGAAAAAAAAAAAAGAAAAAGAATTAGCTGAGATCATCTAGATAATCTTCAGCTTAGCAGCTATGTTCTGTCCATTTTGCTTCACATTGCATGGGACATGTGACACACAGAAGATCAATTACCACATTTCAGACAACATCTGGTACCTACTTAGAAGATACTAAATGGCTTCTGCAGATACAAGCATACTTGAAGATGCAGTTTTATATAACTGTTACCTTAGAATTGAAAGCATCTAAAATTAAAAGGAAAAATAAAACCAAACTCCACTTGCCTTCATCTCCATCATCTCCAAAGGGGTAGAACAGAGCAACTGCTAAATTGATGAATACAGCAAGGTTGAAGGAAATGCTCCCCCAGAGAGAGATGTGTCTGGAGAACCAAAACAGGGGTGGATTATCTAGAAAGGGAAGAAGAGTAGCAATCAATAAAATGAAAGCAGGCAGGAACTCAATCAGTAATGGTTTCAAGGGAATTAAAAAATACAGATTAATGAAGAAAATGTGCAGATCTTTAAAATTAACTAAAATAGAGAAATATTAAGCATAGGCTTGCCATAAAACATAGTTTCAAGCAGAGCTTTTAATCCAAAGATCCCAATATAGTTTATTATATATGAGAGTTTTGCCTCTGCTGAGATTTTAGGACTGATACTAGTCTTTTCACCTGCCTCTGAAACTGTAGCCTCTGTGCACAGAGACACAAAATCAAGCAAACAAACACATTTTAGCACTCTGCGTGCCAGTCAATCAGAAGACCCAGAACAGGTCATCCAAATGACCCATTTGGACCGAGTACACCGATGATATTATTCAAAGAACAATGGAATAGCCAAAGTTGCAGAACAGTGGTATTTCCCTCACCTCTGTCAAACTAAATACACCTATAGCTACTTTGGGGAATAGGGTAAAATTTGGTCTGACTGGGATTTGGTTCTATGAAAGCTGACTACTTCCTCCATGATCCTCAGATGTCCAGAGTTACCTGCTGACAAACAGCTCTTGCTTAAAAGGACTCAAATGAAGCCAGGATCTCCATCTGTGAAGTGCTGTAGAAACACACAGAAATAGTCTATATCCCAAAGAACCTATAACCCAGTTAGAAAAGACTAAAAATGGAAATAGGGCAAAACAGGGTTAAGATTTTGTGTCCAGAGTCACATAAACGATCCCACAAAAAGGCCAGGAACAAGATCAGAGGGTACTAAGACCCAGGTAAGCACTCCATATATATGATTGCACTACAATACGTTTAAATGAACATTTAAAACAAGATTCTATGTGCAATGGTGTGAAAACATTTCTAGCCAGAGAGGTTCATTTGAAGACGATGTATTCCTATTAATTAGATTTTAAAGTACTCAGAGTCTCCTGCAAGTATGCAGAGCATATTCTTGACTTGCCTGCACCCAGCTAACTTTTTATAAACAGTAGACTCCTTCAGCCGCATATGACTATCTCAGGCTTTAGTCTAAACAGACTTTAATCGTGATTAGGTAAATATTCAGATTTCATTGTGATAACCTTATGCCGTTGGCTGCTGAGATTTAAGCATTTGGAGCCATTGCAAACGACATGTGTCAATTTAAGCAATGCAGACTGCATGCTAACAGACGCACGGCTAAAGAATGGACCGAGCCTCAACCTGGATTATCTTTTCGAATAGAAAAACACATGGAGACTTGTGGGCCATTCCACTGATGAAAGGAATTGAGGAATTTCTGTTCTGAATAAAAATAAACCAATTTTCTTTGCTTATAACATTAGGCAGGTCTGGTCTATGTAAGTGTAGGGTTGGGCTCTTTTATTTGTGTTTCTTAAGCAAAACCCACAGATATGATCTTGTTACTAGAGTAATTTTTCTACAATATGGTGACTTTTATTCCCAAATAGACTGTGCAGATAGGGAGTTATTTTGGAATCGTTTATTTTTCAACTTCTATTCTGGTCAGTTTGTCAGTACAGACAAGTTCTTACAGTGCCACCAAGGGAAGCGGACCTGGGCCGACAGGATTCACGCTGAAAACTTACTACTGCCTCTGAAAATTACAGCCTGGGAATTGGCATTTATAAAAACTGCAACCAACATTCACGTTTCCACCACATTAAGGATGCTACATTAAACCATATTGCTTTGACTATCCAAACTCCCTGCTGCTCTGATCATAGATGCTATTCTTCGTTTCCTTCCTAATCAATTGCATGATGCTGCTGTGAGCAGCTGACATGTGCCATCCCAACAGCATCTGCATTTTAGCAGTGAATGCAGTGATCATTCTCACGTATTTTTATATACATACATATTTAAAATACAACTTTTTCCCTTACCCCTCAAGGATACTGCAGATGCTTAATTAGTTTGCAGCCTTGATTCTCTGCTTCAAAAGCAAAGGGCAGAGTTGACAGTGGCCGAGCTGGCAGGAGCTCCCTGTCCCCGGGCCATCGGCAGCGGCCCCATTCCCAGTGAGGGCCAGCAGCTGTAATGCCCACCAGCGAGCTAAGGAAGAAACTCAGGGTACCTGGCTTGGCTTCACTGCACCTCCTCTTCGTGTCCCTGCTCTGATCCCTCCCTCATGATCTTGACCGTACCTGTCAGATCTGCAAGCAGCTCAAGGTGGTACATATGTCTCTCCCAGTGCCACGGGACATATACTGGTATGGGCTAATGGACCGGGACGTACTGCAGCCTCGTCAAGCAAGGCTGATGTCAACTGGCAGAGGAGAACAGACTCCATGGGAGTCGGGCAGATTTAAAACAGCTGAGGTTCTGGTGAGAGATGTTTTTAAGTGACTGACATTTACAAGTTTTTTAACGGTCTTTTAGGAATCTGCAAACCTCAAGTATGTAGCTACAGATGTTTTTGTTAAATATTAGGGGCTTTGGCTTAATTAGGTGCAACTCTATTGAGTTTAGTAGAACTACACCCAGTTCATCCATCCCTCAATCTAACTTTTGAAGACCAAAACATCATCTTGAACACATTATATTACTAACTGCTCTATATTATGCCTCTTTAATGGTGACATGCAAGTGTCTCAGCTGACCTATACTCTGCTGGCCTACACTCTCAAGCCCTGAACAGTTTTGCCTCTTGCAGCATTGGAGTGAACAGAGAAAAGTGTATTATTAAAATGAAAGTATTTGAAGGCTTAAAAGCAGGGTTTTAGCATAATTAAGCTATTTTTTGAAATTGCAATACTTACTCCTAATTTTCTTTTGCCATTTCATCTCGTTGTACAGATCCTCTGTCTGTTGGAAAAAGTCATTGACTTTGCTCCCTTGCTCATCTCTCTCTGTCGTATTGAATACCCGACTTTTGGATTCCCGGGTGAGGAATTCACAAATATTGGGGACAGGGAAGACAATCTGTTCCATTGTTCTATCATGGCGAACAATCTATAAATAACATGCACGTTTTTTTAGGATCAGTGACTTTCCAACCATTTTGCTATATCTCTTCTTGTTCACAGCTCCCCTTTTATTTATTAATTAATGCATACATTATTTGAACATTACAATGAAGTTGAACCAATCAACTCTAAAACGAAGTAAAACTGCTTTTCTATCTTCAAAAGCCCTGAAAATAAGGTGGCAAATATATGTCTCAAGCAAAACGTAGGTCCAAACTTCCCCCAAAATACAAAAAATACAAAAAATGTTCTAGTTCAGAATGCTCCAATTTTGTAATAAATTGAAACAGATCTCTCCCAGTAAACAGTGCAGAAGTTCAGGGGCTTTCTGCTCACACTATGAAATTCTTTTCTCACCTTGAGTCTATTTCTATGATAAGATAAGTTGTGAAGGTGAACGTGTAAAAATAGCACCTTGTTACTCAGACAACACCCATATCTTGTCAGTCTTTATCTTCTTACTTGGCAAAAAAAACAAAGGTTTGCATTGTTTGTATTTCAGGGCCTACCGAGTTATTGGTGAGTGAGCTAGATTTTATTCCATCTCACCACACTGTCATCAAATCTGCTTCCCCATTTTGATCATGGACTCTGCATTACTAAAAATACAGAAATGGGTAGAAAACTCACCTTGACTCCTAGACCCATGTCTCTGTACAGCCACCAGTGAAAAAAACCCCACACCACTATTTGACTTTCAAATCAAACAAATGAGATGATACCCTGATATAGGGGAGCTGTATCTGAAATGCCAAACAGGCCTGGAACTGCTTTCAGAGAAAGACCAGCAAACATCCATTTGATATAGCAGCAATAACAGGTTGAGTTTCACTTTTCCAGTCACAATCCTGCATTAAAGAACGCTCCCTTCTCTCTGTTAATTCTTACTTATTATGTGAGCATATTAAAAGACCACCTGTTTTAACTCTTTTTTCAGAGTAACATAGTCAAGGACATTTGCATTGGAGATGAAGGATAATTATGCTCATGCCTGCCCATGGACTTGTGCATTATGTGAAATTTGAACAGGCAATTTTGAAGCATCCTAAGTAAATAGTTGTGTCTCAGGCAAGCAGTTGTGCAACTAGACTATGTGACTAGCAGCTAACCCGGCAGGGTGAGTGAAGGAAGCCGACAGCACATCTTCGATTCTGCCGGGGTGTCCAACGACAAGGTAAGTCACGTGTGCTGCTCTGCAGAATGGCGTTTTAAAAGCCTCCCTGAGAATAGAGGCCTCCATATCAGCTCAAGGAACAGGCTTTGCAGCCATGAGTGTTTAGGAGATTTCAGGAGTTACACCAGGAAGAAGCTATTGGCCACATAAAAGCAGACCACAGTGCTTGGTTAATGCCTAAATTTACAACCTACCCAGATAACTCGGCTGATAACTGCTAAGAGATACCTCAGGAGCACCCAAATATTAAAATACATTAAGAGGAGCACTGAGCTGCTCTCTGGACAACCACAGCCATGGAGCTTCCATCTATCCTGTGGTGGGATAATGTGACCAGTACTGGGCAAAAAGGATGGTGGGAAACAGAGAAGGGCCCAGCCATGGCCTACCTTGATGGCAGCCAGGACAATACCGACCTCAGATGCTTGCGTCAGACCGCTCCCTCAGCACGCAAGCTCAGGTCCAGTGCTGATGGAGCCTGGGAGCCCACCAAAGGTAAAACTACTGGCTCAGATTCAGGATGAGCCTGTGTGCAACCATACTGTGCAGTTTTCATACTCGGCCAATTTTGGACCTGATACAGCATTTCCGAAAGAGAGCCGGATGTCGCCCCTTCCTGCAGTCTCTCGCAGCAGCTGCCTTTGTACCGTAGAAATTCTCCTCCTTACAAAGTCACTAAGGACTAGAGATACGACAGTGCCTAACTCCTATCCTGATGCCTATAATCCCATGAAATCTGTAAGAGCACAGGATCTGATATAAGAGTTAAGAACGGAAATACCTCTGTGGATCTTGATCTAAATCCAATCCACGGCAGGGGTAAAGTTTAAAATAGAGAACAGAACTGATGAACCAGGCCAAGCCTTGGTCTTTTAAACAAAAGCCATACTGAATGTCTACACCACTTCAAAACCTCTTTGTACTCCAGCCAAACTTTTAATTTGATCAGTTAGCATCACTGGCTTTGAAACTCATGATTATTTATTTCAGCGATGTACCATACAAGATTATTCTTGACTTCATGACACAGCTACTATCCACACTCATTATTTCCCTAACAAAACATGTTTGGTAACACACAGGAAAGCTACTGTAAAATGATTATTTGGAGCCACTTTTAACATAGGTGCGTTCTTTTTTCTCCCATAGCCAAAAGCATATTATTCAAGCTTCTCCTTCTCATAAATAATCTACACCATTTGAATAAGCTTTGCTGTTCAGAAGCTTAAAAAGAGGTGATGCACCATGCACAAGATACAAACTTGTCTCATATTCAATCTTCTAGTGAGCAATTCTTTACCTCTATCTGTGCCGTATGATTGGCATAATACCTCAAGGCTTCATCTCCTTCATCAGGATCTGACCCTGGCTTCAGCATCTGTTGCAACGTTTTATTGTGACGAGCCAACTAGAGAAAGAAAAAAAAAAATCTGATATATGTCCCGCTGCTGTTTTCAGCTTTATCATCTCCACTTAACTAACACAAATCCTCCCCCCCCCCCATATACTTACATGCTCAACCCAGTGGGGCTCTTTCCACAGATAACAACAAAAATGTAATTACTTGAGAACAATAGAAATAATTTAGTCTTAAAAAGTCAGCAGCAAGTCTTCGGCTGAGATTTATGAAAGGCAGCTTAGCCTGCAGCCTACATGGCTTTTGACAAATGCCAAAAAATTAGGCTGAATGCTTCTTTTCACTTAAGTTTAGCTATAAAATTTGCATACCTCTGACTAGGTAATTACATTTACAATTATATTTTCTCTGTAATTTCAAATGACTAAACTGTTCTTCACCATGCTGAGGCAGGTATTTCAGGGCTGCCAAGGTAACGTCCATAACTATTTCAGAAGCAGCTGGACTGCAGTGGCGACAAATACATTCTTAACTGTGTAGTTTATATACATAGCACATATGCGCACACACAAAACCACACAAGTATGTATCTCTTCCTACAAGCTTTTACAAATTATATACTTTACATGATTCATAAAATACATCCATTCTTGCTGACTAATAAATATTTAAAATGCTGGAGAGCTGCACAAAGTTTAATACTAGAATGTCAGCAAATGCATTCACAATGGCTTTTAGGTCAGTGAGAAACAAAGACTTAATTACAAGGCATGAGAAAACACTACTAAAATTGCAATTTTCCCTATACCATAGTGAGTGGTTTCATCCAGAACCTCCGAGGTGTTTTAAAGTGGGGGAAAACTGAGGCAGGAAAGGAAAGGCTATCTTGCAGATGTGATCCAGGTCTTAATCACTACACAGACATTACCACAACAGACCAGACACAGGCATTAGAAATGAGGCAGGCACAGCACTCAAATGACCACAGGAACTAGGCTATGAAGTGATGATCACCACAGGTGCGTTAGGATTGTACTACATGAAATAACGCAGTATGCTGAGGAATTATAAAATAATTACAAATCTACAAAAAGAGTGTCAGGGATCAAAGTCTAAAAGTAACAACAGATCTAAAGAGATATTGTAATAATCTAACCAGAAAGTGGTCACACTCGTTTATAAGCCATTTGCACGTCTCTCCATCCCCTTTCTAAGAATGGTGGAGAAGAGATATGTACACGATTTACTCTATTTACTGAAATTCCCTAGAATCTACTGATCAAAATAATTTTTTCTTCTGAATCTTGATACAAACTTATTAAAGATGAATAAGTGGATATTAAAATAATTAACATTAAAATAATTAACATTATCTTTAATATTAATTAAAGATAATAAGTGTAATACCCAAAAGCAAGAGAATACCAAGAAAGGAATATTCAGGAAGGACAAATGTATTTCCTACAACTTCCTCAGGGACAGAAGTCTGCTTGGTCCCAACAGTAGAGCACTAAGCCAACGTGGCAGAACATCAGCCTTTAATAAAAGGGTCATGAGCAGATATCCAGGGAGACATGGAAAGAACCACATGGAGGACAACTGCAGAGCAATATTCTTTCCATCAATAATTACTTTTTTACTCTATCTAGCAAATGTATGGATAGTGTCATTACACGTATTAATATCTTATGCAACTTCCATTTATTTTTAAGGCTACCAAGGATCACTAAGGCCATCTAACTAGTTGTTCTCCTTCACATATGCCATATAACCTGATCCAGTCAGTAGTGTTTGCAGTATGCCCACATCATCATCTCAACAGGACAGCCTGAATTCATTTTCTAGAGGTCTTTTGCATCCCCTTCAATACATGCTCTAGCATCATGGAGAAAAAAGATGAGCTTGTAGAAAACAAGGTAGTTACTGTTTAAAAATTCCCTTTAAACAGTGTTACTGGTTTTGCCTTTCAGCTTTATTGAATGTCCCTCCATTTCTGTACAAGCAAGAGCACCCAATTCACCTTCTCTGTATCATTCATCATTCTGTACACTACTGTCACATCCTCTCTTATTTGTCTCCTCTTTAAATTAAAACAATCCCTATCTTTCCCATCCCTCCTCAAACAGAAGACTCTCTGTGACTCAATTATTTTCCCTGCCCATCTCCAAATGCCCTTTACTTTGGCTATATCTCTTCTTTAAGATACGAAGAAAAGAACTGACTAGACAGAATGCAATCACACCCTGGTTGGAGTGATGAATTAGCATAACCATAAGCAAATATATTCCCCCTTTTTTATCTTCTGCAATACAGAGGAACTTTGCCTGTATCTTGACCCTTTTTCTCCAATGTCAACCATTAAGATTTTGAGTTTTCTAATAAATGACAAGTCAAGGATGTATGGATAGTTCTTCTCATATTAAAATTATGCCAGTTTGGAGAAAAGGACATGTAGAGGTTCAGAAATCTCCATTAGAACCACAAAAGAATTCTTTTATAAATACACTTGAATTTGTATACCGAATTGGAACTTCCATTTGTGAACCATATGAAATCTCAAGGTATTGCTTCCTGATATGCTTTTAACTGTCCATCATTTTTACTGTAAAAGTATCTCTCGATAAATATCAGTAACAAAAGTTCCCTTACCACGTGGAAGGGAAAACCCTCTCAGTCCTTTTGTGCTGTAATGGGACTGACTAGCACAGCGCGTGAATTTAACAGACGGCTGGTGGTTTGAGACAGCACTGATGCAGTGCATATTTTACTATCAGGTTTCATGTGAATAGCAGCCATGTACTTCAAACCCATGTGCATTCAGTGATCTTCATTACACTTTATCAGACTGTGCTTTCGGGCAGCGACTGTCCTGGGCTGATGTGTGTAGAGAGCCTAGCACCATACAGCCGGGGCTTCCTGACACCAGCACTAGACCAAAAGATCTGAAGAACAGGCCAGGAACATCTGCGCGAGCACCTCGGCTGCCAGCAAAGACACATCGGAAACAACCAGGGACTGCTGACCAAGCTGGAGGAACTACGGCACATTTCAGAAGAGAAACCTACCTAAAGCTGTCAGCAGTAGTGCTAGGCAATAAGCACTCATAACTTCATTTCCTTCTGCTTCCCCATTTCTCTGTATCTCTTACCTTCTGTAGTGTAGACCTTCAGACAGTAACCTCAGGGCAAAGGGTCTATCTATTTTCCTCTTGTATTGCAGTTCCTATGTGGGATGGATTCCTCTACACTGACACAATAATAAGCATTGCTAATATTTCTGTATTGTCACAACTACGTCGATACAAGAATGGTGTGGACAGCAATCTGTGAAAGTTCAGCTCTGAAGCAGAGGCCCACAGTAAGACACAGAACAGCTTTAGAAATGCTATGTTTTTTGGCAACTACAATGTTTTCTGAAGCTCTGCTATCATGATCCTTCCTTCGCCCTCTAATGAGCTCAAAGGCCCACATGGGCAAAGGGGACTATGTCAACAGACTCCTCGACCAGTGCCGAGCTTTTTGTGAGATCAAAGACATAGCAATGAAAATAACAATGCAGTGACAAACTGTGAACCTAAAATACGGAAAGCTTATCCAAGCTGATAATACACCCTAGGTGACCGTCTGTGACTGGCATGTAAAGGCTGTGCGAGCTCTGAATGACATTTTTTCACATTTAACTCCTGTGATGTCGTTAAGTGTTATTGCACAAATCTTCTGGGGCAGCTGACAAACAAGACACTGGATGGGCATGGACAATAGGACCTTTAATGAAAAGAACAGCCCCATTTATGTCTGCAAAGCAAAGCTCAAAAATGCACGGCAAGCATAACTGATAGAAAAAATAACCATCGATAGAGCCTGAATTTGCAAAGAGCCCAAAAAAAATCACCTCTGAGGAGAAAACTCAGTTAGTCAGTCATACACTCACCCATCAAACATGCCAGTGACAATATTTTAAATGTCAACACTGTATTTTACTACTCATCAAGGCATGCAGGGATGAGGAAGAAATAGCATACAATGGAACAGTGATTTCCAAAGAGGAGATGTGTAAGGCAATAGCTATATGAATAAAGATCACTTGGCTTTCAGTCAGTTCCCGAGGAAGGACTGTTGTTCATCTTGAAAGATTTTTACTTAAAAAATTTGGAAAACACTGTAATAAAGCTTCAGTACAAAATGTGAAAGATTGAGGACAGACCAAGAACGCTGAAGACATTAATAAAGAAACAGTAGAGATAAATGACAGAATTACAAGGAATACTCAGTCTAAACTCCTCACACAACATGATTATAAAATCAGATCTGCGAGTCATCTGGGATTCCATATATGATCGGCACAGCATGGAAAACCACAGCAGACCCATCTTTTGCAATTAACAATATATGGGTTTGCTGCAGGCTTTTTGTTTTAAAGTCAACATTTTCTTGAAGAAAAATGCAGTTATTTAAATGTTCTCAGAGAAAAAGTGATTTAAAGCTGTGAACGTTCATGTCATCAGCCTGTCAATAACTCATTGACTTGGGATACTAGATTGGTTTGCCAAAATACGTATGTACATATGTGTGTGTGTCTGGAAAAATTTCTGGGAAAAGAGAAAGTAATTTTCCACTTTTCATTATCTCTGTAAACCATAGACCCCTTCTGTATTTTTACAAGAACGTGTCAGTCCCTGGTTGTAACTTGTAAACTGCAAGGGTCTCCTCTGTAGCCCAATCCTCATCGGAGGCACGAGGTCTAACCAAGTACACAGCCGAGACAGTTGTCAAAACTCCTGCTGATTTCACCAGGTTTTGCTTCAGGCCCAGAAAAGGACAGGAGTCCGAGAAATACGAGCTACAAACAGCAGGCTGAAGCCCCCCAAATTCTGTGAGATCTACTTCATTCTCCAGCATTTTGAGACCGCCAAACGTGAGGGGTAAAGGTGATTTTTTATGACTAGAACGGTATAAAGGGATTTAAGTGGGTGAGGCTTAGTGTCCTGTAAGCAACCAGGGTTTTCACGGAAGAGTTGGTTCACTGGCAAAGTGTCAAACATGTTAAACTGA